GGGTGTTTTGAACCTGAGTCACAGAGCCCTCGAGAACTTAGAGAATTGTATTCTTCAGTTTGAAATTATATACAATATATTCTGTATATGTACGACTTGCTCAGAAAAGTGTACATCATCTCCCTTTTACCACCACCACCACCACTGTGCCCCACCCCCCGAAACCCTTGCTGTCCCTGCAGGTTCAGTGTTGAGTTTCACATGCCAAAACATAGAAAAACATATAACACAACTTCAACGTCCTCCTCTTTCCCCTGTGAGACCCTATTCAACCCCCATGACATGACACCTCTGAGATACACCCTAATTGAACTAACACAGTAGTTCTCAACCTTCCCAATGCCGTGGCCCTTTCATAGAGTTCCGCATGTGGTGGTGACCTCCCCAACCATAAAATTATTTTCGTTGCTACTTCATTACTGTAATTTTGCTACTGTTATGAATCAGGTGACCCCTGTGAAAGAGTCATCCCACCCCCAAATGGGTCGCAACCGACAGGTTGAGAACCGCTGAACTAACAAAACCAAATCATAACAAAAATACAGAAAGTGTTGAAACCGGATCGTGTCCAGTGTGCATCAGAGGGGGGATCAAGGGACAAAGTTGTAACTGTTCAAGTCAGTGGTGAGCCTTTGATCTTCTGTACTCCTCTCTCCACTGCACGCTGCTAAGTAACCACTTTCCTCCCACCCCTCAGTTGTGGGTAGAGGGAGTTCACTGGGGGTTTAATGATTGACTGATGGGATGATATGATATATGTATTAACTCCCAATTAATAATAAATTATTTTTAAATATATATAAATTGGCATTGGCTAATTGAAATGGAATTGTGTTTTAATGCCTATGGATCACTTGTAAAGACCAAGTTTCCTAAATATTTACCCAAGACTCTTTATGGCCTAATTTCTAACCTCCCAAGCATCATCTCCTTCCATTTATCACCTGCACAGCCTTCACACTCACAAATGCACACAGTAGTGCCACACTTCCTGTGGTTTCTCAAACGGCCATGTGTTTTCTTAGCTCCAGATCTTCCTCCTCTTTCCCCTGTGAGAGCCTGTGCAGTAGCCGCAAACATCAACGTCAATGTCACCTTCTCAGTGAAACTTTCCCTGACCTTACCTCGCAGCAGTGAGTGTTTCTTTGATGGCCTTTCGTCGAGCTATTTTCACCCCATTCTTAGACCATTACCACATGGTCTGCTGGGTAGCTCTCGTGGCTTGAGGGCAGAGCAATCCACGCCCTCGGGTGGTGGCTGTGACCTTCATAGAATGGTGAGAGTGGAATCCTCAGGGAAGGACTAACTGGGAAACCATTTCGCTTTGGGGCCTAAGAGTCACACAGTCAATATTTGAGCTAGTAATCAAACAAAGAAGTCAAGCAGCTTTATGCAAAATGATGCTTACCAGGCCTTCTTCATCTCTGGTGGCTATAAACTATACCTGCCTGAAATACACTAGATAATTCAACGTCTATTTTATGAAAGGTCAGTATACATCTATCTCTGTTTTAGGAAGTCTGGAGACCCCACTGAAGAAGTTCATGTCACGGTAAATAAGAAGCTTACAGCCTCCTGAAAGGCAATTGCTGAGAAATGCAACTGCAACTTAAGCCTTACCCAATAATTGACTGATGGGATGATATGATATATGTATTATCATACACAGCTCTCTGCTTTCTACAAGAAGGTGAAATCAGATAATGCTCAGAGCTTCAACTTTAAACTCCATGTACAACTCAGACCTGTTTTAGGTTTTCTGAACACTAACTATGAGGCACTGAGCAAATTGTATTAACTCTATATAGGCTTGGATTCATCAGCAAGTACAGAATGAAAAACAATGCTTACGGTATAATAAAAAATCCAACATACTATATGTGAATGGCAGTAAGCGTGCAACAAAGGCTAGCGATGGTGGTGAAGTTCAGTGTGGGTGACGGCAGTGATAACACAGTGAACTGTGTGCCTGGAGGGCAAGGACTGTGTTTAGCTCTGATTCCCCAGCACCTACGATCGTGCCTGACATACTGTCGGTATTAATCAAGTGTTGGTTGTGTTAATGATCAATGAATTGTCAACTCTAAGACGTTAAAAGGCAAGAGAATATATACAAGAAAGGTATTAGCGCGGACTCATTGTCAAGGAAAATAATGGAGCAAGAAAGTCTACAGAAGGTAGACTTGTTCATCTTTGGAAGAGGTCACGGGTACTTGAAAGCAAAAGAAAATAAGCACTATGTCAAAGTGTAAGGAAGGGGTACCTCTCCCAAAATGGAAAAAAGCACCATTGAGCCCACCTTTCATAGTAAGCATTTTTCCCCGCTAGGCGAGCATCCAGCAACTCGCTCTGAGTTAATGTACCCAGTGGCGTCACCTGGGAAGGTTCTTTCTGGTCACAGTGAATTTTTTCATAAAAGTAGTTTCACTCGAACCTCATTGTGATGCCTGATTTAAGAGAATAGCGTGCAGCTGTGAAATGCTGCTTGTAGAAAATGCCCCAGAAACTGCTGTGATGTTGAACATAGCTTACAAGGATAGTGCTATGGGAAAAACTCAAGTGTGTGAGTGGGTTTCTCATTTCAAAAGAGGTGAAATGTTGATTGATGACAAACCTTGTTTCGGATGTCCGTCAACTTCCTGAACAGATGAAAATGTCCACTCCTAGTGCATTTGGAGTTCCTTCCACCAGGTGAGACTGTTAATTAAGCATTCTATTTAGAGGTTCTGAAAAGATTGTGTAACAGCGTGCATCCAAAAAAACGCAGACGGGAACTGGTTTTGCCACCACGACAATGCACCTGCTCACAGCCATCTCAGTGCACCAGTTTTGGGAAAAAACAGCACGCCTCTCGGTTCCCACACACCTGACCTTGCTCCACATGCCTTCTTTTTGTTTCTGTGAGAAGAAGGACAGGAAAGGACAGCGATTTGGCGACTCAGAAGAGGCGAAGAACAAAACGAGGGAGGTGCTGTCGGCCAGATGAATTTGAAAAATGTTTCCAAGAATGGATTCACAGATTTGACAAATGTATTAAGTGTAATGGAGAGTACTTTGAAGGTCATAAGGTTGTTTTGTGAACAAAAAACAAACAAACATAGCTGTGAAAAAACCATTGGGGGGCGGTAACACCTTGTATTGCTCAGGATAGTCTGTATCAGGGGTGGGAATGTGTAAAGTTCTTTGTTTAGTAGGAAAGGTACGCAGTGAGAGAGAAACATACATACATACATGTAAATAGACATACAGACGACGACGGTCGCTGCTAAAACTTTACTACTTGGTTCTATGCCTAAAAATTACTAACCAGACTTAACGCTTCTCAGTTGGCTCCTTTCGGAAGATAGTCGCTCACTATAACCAAACAATACAAGAAAGTGTTTCATTCAGACAAGCTGTATGGTGGAGATGAAAGTCACATGCTATTGGGGGGGGGGGGGAGACAATCTAGCTTTGGATGTTTTGTTTTGCCCTTTAACTAATTGAACCCGTAGACAACAACATCACGATACATGGAGAAAAGACTGACGTTGTCAGGGATTTCGTTTTGCTTGGGTCCACAATCAATCCTTGCGGAAGCAGCAAGAAAAAAATCAAACAGCCTATGGCCTTGGGCAAATCTGCTGTGCAAAACCTCTTTAAAGTGTTGACAGCACGGTGTCACTCTGAAGACTCAGGCTTGTTTCATGGCATTTTCAGTTGCCTGATCCGCAGGTGCAGGTTGGACATGGAATAAGGAAGAAAGAGGGGAACATGATGCCTTTGAATGATCAGGTTGACAAGGAATATGGAAAGTACCCTGGACTGCCAGAAGAACAAACAAATCTGTCTTGCAAGATGTACAGCCAGATGCTCCTTGGAAGCAAAGATGGTGGGCACCGCATCTCACAGCCTTTAGACATGTTATCAGGAGACACCAGTCACTGGAAAAGTAAACTGTCGATGACAACCAGGAAGACCGTCACGGAGATGGGCTGATGTCATGGCTACATCAAGGCGCTCAGACACAATGAGTGTGACGATGGCCCAGCACCAGGCCACGTTTTCCACAGGGTCACGACACACAGAGCTGACTTGACAGTAACTGGCAGTGAGTCTGACTCATGCTGACCCTGCAAGACGGAGTGCATCTGCCCCATGGGTTTCCGGGACTGTACGTCCTTATGGAAGCAGAAAGTCTCACCTTTCTCCTGCAGAGCAGCTGGGAGTTTGGAACTGCTGACCTTGCGATACAAACCCACGGTGCCTTCTAAGAAGAACTAGCAACATTACTTTAGACAACTTACCTCTTCAAGCTTCAGATTAATAATGCTTATCCCACCAGGCTGATCAGAGCCTTGAAGAAGAGAGTGTATGTAAGATACCTAAGCAGCTGATCCTTAGCTGGTGTTCAATATGCGAGAGCTAATATTTATAATAGCATGAATTGAGACATGTATGTGCTCATACAAAGTCAAAAGTATACATTTTGGTTGTGCATATTTTTGACATGTAAACATGAGTTTGTTCTGAGAGCAATGGGGTTGTTGAAATTAAAAATAATCCACAAAAGGCACTGTGCAGTGAAATCACACTAGGCTTTGTCTCTTCAAACTGAAGAAATATAAAATGTTTGGAGTGTAGGTGACCGTATAGGTTGAATACTCAAATAGAAAGTTACTTTATTAACCACCTACCGTGAAAACTGTCATGCAAATACTGCCTTATGCTTTATGCAAACATTTGAAAATCCCCATGACTTTGTTGTTCTGCTTGGATTTTTTTTTTCCGTAGTGAAGTACATAGTTTAATTAATTTCACATGTGTTGGTATGCTGGCCAAATATTTCCTTTCAAATACTTGAGCTCTATGTGGAAATGCAGAGTGATAGTACTTAGTACGTTATTATTTTTCCCCTCCAGTAGTGGACTTCATCTATAAGTTCTTTTGTGGGCTTTTAGTTCCACATATGCTAAAGGATCTCCTAGGCCCAAAATAAGTGAGTTTTTCCTCTCATGCAGGTTCTTCCAGAGGGCCCAGCCCCCTAACCATGGGAGCCCAGGACACCCTCCCAGTTGCAGCTGCCTTTACAGAAACGGTCAATGCCTACTTCAAAGGAGCAGATCCAAGCAAGTAAGTCCGGGGCTTTGTCCACATCTTCTCTAAGTTCTGTCCCATCCAGTGGTAGAAACACTAAGGATTACTGTGTCATTCCTCGACTTCAAACCAAGAAAACCCAGATACCAATAACAGGTTAGGTGACACCTAGCATAAAGGAGACACTTTAATAAAGAAGATTAATTACAATATTTTAACTGCTTTAACTTTTATTATTTGAAGCTTAATTTATTCCCGAGCCATGAGCCATCAGTTTCTTCTGGGAAATCTTTTTCTTCTGTGCAACCTCCTCTTCTGGTTTGGGAACGATCTGTTCCTTCTCAGTGGGCATCATTTCAGTGTGGCAGGGGGAGCGCATGTGTGGGTTGATCCGACCGTGAGCTCTGTAAGCCCGGCGGCGCATCCTAGGGGCTTTATTCACCTGGATGTGCTCAATGACCAGAGAATCGACATCCAAATCCTTAAGTTCAACATTCCATGACTTTCTGCATTTTTAAGCCTGTGAAGCAAAAATTCAGCAGTCTTTCTGGGCCACTGGCCGTGTTAGACAGGGTTCTCTAGAGAGATAAAACCAAATTGCTGATAATTTAATATATTTATTTATAAAGAGAATTAGATATATAACAAGAAATGAA